CGGACATTGAATATTTGTAGAAGCCCCGCCCACTTTTGCAAAACCACACCCACATTGAAACTCGATGCTTAATTACTAGTTAACAGAACTTCGAGTTGTGAGGAACATGGATTTTCTATTTTGTTTAACGTTCAAAATTAGTAACTCAAGTTTGAGTTCCGGGAAATATACGACATTAAACAATACACGCGTAAGTGTCCTCTAATAATGAAAACAAACATGGCTGCCACCAGGGTTTGGCCGGACTCAACACAAAGAAGTTCGCTGATTCTGTTCTAATTTTTTTTTGGATTTCGGCATTCCTAAGATGTATCCTTAGAAGGAAAAGATGTATAATAATAAAGTGATTACGATGATACCTCAAAGTATGCACTCTACCTCCGATGTGCGTTGATCGATACTGCCGCTGTACTGTCTTCGTGCATACTGTAAAATACTTTATTTTCGCTTGGAATTAATTTTCGCTACATTCGCTGAATGAATTATTCAGTGAAAATAAAATTCAGTGAATGTACCTTTTTTCCTATATTTTACATTCATTTTATCAAAAATGAGTGAAAATAAATTCCATACAAAACACCCAAAATTAATTCCAGCTAAAATAATGTATTTAACAGTACTTTGAGGTATTTTCGTAATAACCTCGTATACATGTATGTGTTCCTGGTAATAAAACAAGTTGTCACAGCAGATCGCAAGCCTGTGCTGTGCTATGGTTGGTTGGTGTCCTTATGAATGAACACTGGGTATAATATTGGGTTATTGCCCATACTGGTAAACACGTGAACAGTAAGCTTTATAGGGTTTGCCTATGTTTTATTTTACAATTCTGCAACATTGACATCGTTAGTGTAATAAAGTAGTGGTTATCCATAACACACATTGACCAAAAGAACCTCGGACACAATGTATTGTTTTACACATGGTTGACATTGATTAATCTACATGCAAGGGTAATCTTTCCCATAATGCATTATGGGCAGTAACATGCTCAGTAGTAGAGAATTTGAAGTTCTTTCCCACAATGCAATGCATATATGGGCAGTAACATGCTCAGTAGTACAGAATTTGAAGTTCTTTCCCACAATGCAATGCATGTATGGGCAGTAACATGCTTAGTAGTTACAAATTTGACGCTCTTTCCGACAATGCAATGCATATATGGACAGTAACATGCTCAGTAGTACAGAATTTGAAGTTCTTTCCCACAATGCAATGCATGTATGGGCAGTAACATGCTTAGTAGTCACAAATTTGACGCTCTTTCCCACAATGCAATGCATATATGGGCAGTAACATGCTCAGTAGTACAGAATTTGAAGTTCTTTCCCACAATGCAATGCATGTACAGTAACATGCTTAGTAGTCACAAATTTGACGCTCTTTCCCACAATGCAATGCATATATGGGCAGTAACATGCTCAGTAGTACAGAATTTGAAGTTCTTTCCCACAAAGCAATGCATGTATGGGCAGTAATATGCTCAGTAGTACAGAATGTGAAGTTCTTTCCCACAATGCAATGCATGTATGGGCAGTAACATGCTTAGTAGTCACAAATTTGACGCTCTTTCCCACAATGCAATGCATATATGGGTAGTAACATGCTCAGTAGTACAGAATTTGAAGTTCTTTCCCACAATGCAATGCATATACGGGCAGTAACATGCTCAGTTGTACAGAATTTGAAGTTCTTTCCCACAATGCAATGCATATACGGGCAGTAACATGCTCGGTAGTACAGAATTTGAAGTTCTTTCCCACAATGCAATGCATATACGGGCAGTAACATGCTCAGTAGTACAGAATTTGAAGTTCTTTCCCACAATGCAATGCATATACGGGCAGTAACATGCTCAGTAGTCCATCATCATTCGGGCAATATTACGATTTTGAACAGGCAACAAATCATCATTTTGCCCTCACAAACATGTGCTATTTTAATATACACACAGGCAGTACACGGGCACATCAACTCTGCTATGCATGAGGCAAAATAATCACAGTATTGCCTTTGTGTATACTTTGCTGTATCCCCTTTCAATAATCCTCATATAATATTCGTCACCACAAATCCCTACGCATCACCAAACTAAAATCCTAAAACACTTTATTTTACAGTTGTCAGACTTGTGATTTTTGGCTGTTGTCTAAATTTTGGACTAATGTTAACTTCCCTACGTCCAATTACCCACCATAGACTCCGGTCAGTCAAAATGACTACTGTAAAACATGTCTTTTTTGCGAGCATGTCTTTTCAGTGAATTTAGCGAGAGAACTGATTCGCTAATTCAAGATGTCGCTAATGACTTTATTATAAGTTCAAAATGGCCAAGGCTTGGGGATTTGTATAGAGTTATCCGTAACATAAAAATCTGGAGCGCTTCCTAATTACACTTGACAGTTTTTCTTTGACATTTGTTTTGGCACGCGACAGATAAGTATTGTGAAAACAGGAAATCAATAATGACAAGAGAGATTCTCTAAATCAACATTTCGCTATTACCTCATTTTACCACAATTTGCTAAAATTGCATGTCGATTTTTCAACATGATTTACAGTATTTTGAACTGAAGGCGTCAGATGGGGAGAGATGGTGGACTCCAAGCAAAACAGTTATGCATGAGGGCATAGGCTGAAAGCAAGACCTGAAATGTCCAAGGAACGCTGACGGGGGAAAAACTTCTCCACACAAATCTATAGCCAAGACTGCTCTATCGCCCATGTGCAGGGAGCCATGTGGTCGTCCAGGCTGGGTCAACAATCAAGACCACAACGACTGGACCCACCCTAAAAAGACCTTCCTCAATTGATTGGATGTCTCTTAGGTAATAATTGATAAAGACGTTTTGCATTCTCCAGAAGCCTGCCCTAAGCACATGTTCGAGGGCATGTGCAAGAGCAAATGATTTAGCAATCACACGAACCTCATGTACTCATACTTGGTGTCTCCGTAAACCTCAAACATTGTGATCCATCTAGAATTGTCAGGGAGGCTAGTCTATCCTGCTTACCCTTGCCAAAACACATAAACATGTCTTTGCTGCCTTGCCTCATCTCCCTAGTACGTCTCTCATAACTATTCAAAGCTCCTCCTGATGTTCTGGGTCAACAATATTGGTCAAACGGAAGATGACGATCAACTGTGGATCGTGCCCTGGGATTTGGTTCTTGGCGAGAAACCTGATTTGTGTCTTTAGCACAGCTTTATTGTCCATAAAGGCGGCACAAACGTCCAAGACAAGGCCCCTAACTCAGAGCAACGCCTTCCAGAGGCAAGAGTTAGTAGGAAGACTGTCTTCCACGTCAAATATTTCAGTGGTGCTAACTCCAGCAGTTGAAAGGGTGGTCCGCTTCGAGCCGACAACGCAACCGACAAATTACAAATGGTGGTTCCCTAGATTGGGGTCTTGGCCTCTGATTATGAAAAGCAGTAAACAGTCTCCTATTAATAGGACAATCGGCTAGTCTTGTCACCAAAGATTTCTCGATGGTGGGTGATAAGGCTGACCTATAGCCAACAATTGCTGCATAGGACAAACCAAACTCGTCAAACAGAGAGGCGAAAAAATCAGCTACCTGGCCAACAGTGGGGTGGCATGGATCAACCTCCCTTCCACTACACTACGTATGCCCAGCATTTGGAGATGTAGGCTGTGTTGGTGGAACCACTATTCACCCTGGCCAGGACACTGGCAGCCCGCTCAGATAAACCCTTTGTCTGTGCGAGTCTACTGAAAGCTTCAAGGCATGTGAGTGGTACACTGCTGGGCTCATTGGTAGTCTGCTGTTCGGTACAGCAGATCAGAATTGGCCAGTAAGATGCCACTAGCGTCAAGATGAAGGTGTGCTGCTGTCGAAGTTTCTCCATGACCCAGTGAATCAGCGAGAGGAGAGGAAAGGTGTACGAGTCCATGTGTGTCCACAGGATCGACAATGCATCCATGGCCCATGTTCCTGGAGTCGGCAGGACTGTTACATACGTCGGGAGCTTGGCATTCCAAGGTGTGGCGAATAGGTCTATCTAGGGACCATCCTATAGCCGAAACAGTCTGGAGGATACCATTGGGGTACCTGCCACTTTGTGTTCTGGAAACTGAGTCACCTGAGTCGCCTGGTTGTGTAGAAACCAGTCGCCTCGGTACAGGTTGATGTGTACCAACGACTGATGCACCAGCAGCACCATAGCCCATGCTCTTGGAGTCAGATTGTTACTACTTTGAGGGGATCATTAACATGGAAGGCGGGATAGCAGCGGAATTTCGAAACTGTGTGTCACCACCTGGAGTGTCAAGGGGTCAGTTACCTGCTGCTTCCAAGCTGAAATACACAGGTGCAATCTGTTAGCGACAGGGACATGTGGCCTTGGGTTCGGCAGTTCTACATTGGGACAATCTCTCCTTCACCAGAGTTCCCTTGAGGTTTTTAACACCTGCCGCCCAATGCTTGCCCATCCCCCTTTTCACAGGAGGAAGCAACAAACTCGCTATAATATGTATAATATCAAAGCAATCGGAAATCGAAACCATCACTTTTCACAAAAAATGAAAAAAATCTTCATCAAAATTAGAGAATTAAAGATATCATGTTGAAATGAACAAATCTAAGAGAGGTCTGCCCAAGGTATCAAAGCAACAAGGCATCAAAGAAACAAGGTTTTCAAAAAGACGTCAAAAAAGTAAAAAGACGCGGCACCGATGGACAATCACTCGTATGATAAGCTACGTATGACTAAGTCAACAGCGGAGCTAAATACTAAAATCTCGTGGCCAATTGGTGGTCATTTACATCTAAGGCCTATCATAATCAGACGAGACAACTCCACAATCAAAATCTTTTTGTTGAATATACCAGTACAACTTTTTACCAGTTTTTTATGACATACTCAGGTGCAAAAATATGAAATAATATCCTGGCTACAATTAGGTCAATTATCTCACGCAGCTCGTTCAAAAAAATAATTAAACAATTATTATTGACAGAAAACAAGACACATATGATTTTGTTTGCCAAGTTGTTTATTTATTCATTATTTTTTTTAACCTGATTTATTTTTCCACAACTTATTTTCTTAGACTTTAAAGTTCTGTATGGCATCAGGTTGGTTTTGCCGGCACTGCTGTCGCGGTTACCCTGTGGTGTTTGGTGCTGGGGGTGGTTAACCACAAACATGAGAGATGTTGGTAATGATGTCCTATAGGGAGGGGGGGGGGTATAAGCGTCCATGTTTGTGGTCCACAATCCCCGGCCATAGGGCGCTGCCGGTGTTTCCATGGTGGTGGTGTCGGCAATGCGTGATGTCATACATACATATTTGTTCATTTATTGGCTAACGAGCTGTACCAGGTATGTTTATTTATCACTGATTTGTATTAATTTACATATTCATTTATTTAGTTATTTATTAATTTGGTTAGTTAATCTTCATATTAATATACTTATTTTTGGCCCTCCACTTTATACATTATACTTCAAGTGTATATTGGAAATCAGACTTGACTAGCAGTAAGCCTTTTTCCTTTTTACCCAATATATATATTTTTTTTTTCGTACCATTTGTTTTTCTTCGTATTTATTTTTGTATGTGGTTAATTTGGTTATTATTTTTCAGTGTTTTTCCATTTTTTTGCTGTTCTATTCCAAACTTTATTTGACTTAAAAGTAAAATGATATAAAAATACTTCTTCTTTATTGTAGTTATTGTATCACAATGTTTGTTGGGGAAACTAATTATTATGCAAATTAGGCATATTGTTATGTAAATTTGTGATTGACATGGAGTTTGGGGTTACACTGGTATAAAATGTGTTTTTCAAAATTAGTTACCAAGTCGGCAGATGGTATAAAATAAATGTTTTCGTTTTTTTCTTCCAGTTTCCAACAAAATATCATACTTTAGGATGTTGTCTCAAGAGTTGGGGAAACTAATTATCATGCAAATTAGGCATATTGTTATGCAAATTAGTGATTGACATGAAGTTTGGGGAACACTGGTATAAAATGTGTTTTTTTTCAAAATTAGTTACCAATATAACCAGTCACCGAGCCAAGTCGGCAGATGGTATAAAATAAATGTTTTCGTCTTTTCCTTCCAGTTTCCAACTAAATATCGTACTTTAGGATGTTGTGCCAGGAGTGCATCTTCATACGTATCAAGTACCATATCTTGTGACAAATGCCCACTTGAACAGAAAGTTCTCATTTTTTCAACTGCGCTATCAAAAGTTTCTTTTCCGTAATCTTCTTTCACATTGGGTTCCATTTCCCGCCACAGTTTTTCAGAGATTTTCCTAACACTGTCTTCAGTGTATAGTCCAGTAGCACGGATGAAGTTTGCTGGTTCTATGACTGACACAGGCACATGGAAAGGTCGCATCTCGAGACGTAGACTGTCAGAGAATGCTTCAATGCCTCGTTTACAGATGCAGTACGCAGAGCGACCAGGAGGTGAAAACAAGCCCAAGTAAGAGGACACGTTAATCACTCGACCTACGAATAAAAAATGAAGAAATGCCCTTAAAATATGAATACATAGAATTAAAAAGTTCATTATATTCACGGATAAAGTAACAGGGTGTACAAATACACATTAGTACAACAAATTGAAACGGCGAGAAATACAAGATTCAAATTTTTAATTTTCATTGTCTCTCAATTCAAAATTACGACCAGATTTGGAATTGTTTTTTGTCGCACACAAAAGGCAGTGTATTACCCAGCTACATCTCAGCCAGTCAATATAACAGCCAACTTTTATTGACAGATATTTTATTATTATTTTTTTTTTGCGAAAAAACAAAAAAAACAACCTCTTGCGTCAAATTTCAAATTCTACATATTTACCATATAAAGTGTTTGAATGAAAACTTAGTAAGCTATACTGTCCTGAATGCTTCCGCAGATTGATGGGTCACTTAGGGGCACTTGAGCATCCCTAAGATGCTTGCTAACTGAACTGAAAATTTTTTAGAAAGTAATAGCCAATGAGTTTGTATTCAATAACCAGTGTTTCCGCTACCGTTGGCCAAATCGGCAAGTGGCGAAAAAAAAATCAGAATGGCTAATAAAAAGTTTCCCCAATTCGTCATTTGGCGATTGCTAAAATTACAACGAAAATGTGTGAACTTTTTTCTATTTGCCTGCCCAGAAAGATTTCCACGTGAAAAAAATCGAAACACGTAAACACTTGTCTAATTAGCATAAAACAACTCTATTTTGTAAGGCTGATTCCAATTGGGTATCTTGTGACCTCATTCAGTTTGTTATCCAATAGCGTGCGCTGTATTATATAAATGACGTCATCATAACATTCTTTAAAATGGCTGCCAATATGCAAGGCTCCGCTCGTAGCAAACGAATTTATCAGGGTACGCTTGACAGTTTCGTAGAAGGACAAGTAAAACCACCTCCTTCGAAAAAAGACAAGTCTGAGGGTGATCACGAAGTTCAAATAAATGTCACAACGGATGATAAACCGAAGAAAAATCAAGGTCCCGAAAGTACCAAGAAAATGGGAAGTCGCGTCAACCATGGTATGCGTGATGACTGGGTTAAATCATACCCGTGGCTAGAACTTGATTACACGAAGAACTTGATGTTTTGTAAATTTTGTAAAGAAACAAGTAAACGAAATATCTTTACTAATGGATGCGATAAACTGAAACTTGACAATGTGAAGAAACATGCATCGACAAGGGATCATAAACAAGCAAATTATGCAAGATAAATTTTCATCACGAGATATGAAGCATGCAATGAAAAATTCGTTTGCCGAAGCGGAGCCTGCTATATTTGCAGCCCTACGCAGCGTGTACTGGTTCGCCAAGGAAAATATCGCCAATGTAAAAGTGACATCTATGAATAAGTTTTTGAAGGAACAGGTACGTAATATATTACTAAGAATGTTTTACCTCTTCACTCGCCATTACCTAGTTTATTTAGTAATTTTTTGTTGATAATTTGTCAATTTTAAAACAAAACTAAAATGATTTTTTTTTTAAATTTTAAATTTTTTAGGGAGTTGAATCCGTCCAGAATTTGAAGTGTGATGACCGAACAACATATGAGCACTCCAG